GAAACAGTGTTTCTATGATAGTATTTATTGATCCTCCCACTGCCAAATAAAGATGTAAGGTGTATTTTTTATTGATTCTCCCACTGCCAAATAAAGATGTAAGGCACATTTTTTATAGAAGAAGAGAAGGAGGAGGAAGAGGAGGAGGAGGAGGAGGAGGAGGAGGAGAGACAAAAAAGCAATTTGCCCACATTAAAAAAAGAAAAATGCTTATTCCAAATTACAGAAAAGTGGCAGGGTAGGCAAAAATAAATAAAATTATTTTCCTGGAATCGGGCTCATCTGGCCTTTGCTGTTATTTCTAAGAAAATAATTAAATGAATACAGTAGCACTTCAAAACCCAGTGCCAATTAACAGCACAGATTTTTGTTTTCTCTGATTATATTATTTTTTTACCATGAAAGGCCATGGTCTGAAGCAGTCGATCAGCCACTTCCTGTGGGAATACTCCAGGTTCTTGCAAACACAATGTTCCATCTTGTCTTGCTGAACAGAACTTCTCAAGATGTGTAGTCAGGAAATTCAAGCAGATATCAAGTAAGGAATAGGGAGATGCCTCCTCCTTGGAGCCCAGGACGAAACATAAAGGAAACACAAAAGCCAACGAGTTAGTTTCCAGAAAAGTAAAGAACAAAACATTCATTTCCACATTCAAAGGGATGGAGCCAATGCAAGCCTGTGACAATTTGGCAATATGTAATCCCCCAAACAAAGGAATTTGCTCTCTCTTGGCTCTTGGAGCTTTTGGGTTGGGGCTTTCTTGGCTCTCTGGTTCCTTTGGCTTTGCTCCTGCCCATGTTTCCTCCATGACCATGTGGCCTGTGGGCCCACACACACAATGGACTAATGGACTGCAGCAAGGAACACAATCTAAGCTAGCTTGATGCTGGTCTGGACACTGCTCCAATATGGAGTGAGAATTCTGGACACTAGCTTTGCTGAAGCTATGGCTATACTTCTTCCTTGGGGGACGAAGGGAAATGGGACCGTGGAAACTCAGGGGTTTGATTTCACAGAAATAAAACTTTCTACAATATCCCATCCTCCCATGTGAGTCTCAGAAAATTCCTTTTCTCTGGATATTGCAAGAAGCCCACTCCCAAGAGCAACAGGTGGTGCACTGATAACAAGTGCACCATATGCTAGATACTTTTTTAGGCAATATAACATGTGACCATATTCTTAAGAAGTAGGAGAAGAGTACATTTAAACAAAGGTTTACATAAAGCCTATTAAATACTATAATAGAAGGCATATTGGGTAGTGTGTACCAGGTGTACCGGTTAATAATGCAGAATTTTTTCAATAGATGGAGTTACACATAGGTTGATATATATGCAATTTGATATGTATGCTATTTTGTTGTATTGACAACAAACTTCAAAACCTCATATGTCAAATTTCCTGAAGGTGTTAACATCATAGATATTTTTACGCTTAAAAATATCAAATTTCGTGCCAAAAAAAGAGCATTTGTGGGAAGTTTTAATTCATTACTTTATTTTTGAAAAAAAAAGTGCTGCTGAATACTTCAGGAAGCTTATGGTGAACATGCTCCATCCCAAGATACTTGTGAACACTGGTTTAAATGCTTTAAAAGTGATAATTTCAATGTGAAGACAAAGAACGTCCAAGTCAACCGAAAAAGTTTGAAGACCAACAATTACAAGCATTATTGGATGAAGATGCTTGTCAAATTAAAAAACAACTTGCAGAAAGATTAAATGTTGCTCAGCAAACAATTTCCGATCGTTGACAAGGAATGGGAAAGATTTTAAAGGAAGGAAAATGGGTGCCACATCAAATGAACGAAAGACAAATGGAAAACCGAAAAGTCATCAGTAAAATGTTGCTTCAATGGCAGGAAAGAAAGGTTTTTTTGCATCTAATTGTGACTGGCGATGAAGAGTGGATTTATTTTGAGAATCCCAAGTGCACAAAATCATGGGTCGATCCAGGTCAACCATCAACAGCGACAGCAAGGCCAAATCGCTTCAGAAAGAAGAAAATGCTTTGTGTTTGGTGGGATCAGGAAGGTGTGGTGTATTATAAACTTCTAAAACCAGGTAAAACCGTTAATACTGATCGCTACCGACAACAAATAATCAATTTGAACCACATTTTGGTCGTAAAACGACCAGAATGGGCCAGAAGACACGGCAAAGTAATTTTGCTTCATGATGACGCACCATCACACACTTCAAAACCAGTTAAAGACACGTTAAAAGATCTTGCCTGGGAAGTATTAACCCACCCGCTGTATTCACCGACCTTGCTCCTTCAGATTACCACTTGTTCCGATTGATGGCATAGCACTTTCTGAGCAGCACTTCAAAACATACAAAGAAAATTGGGTCTCTGAATTGTTTGCCTCAAAACAAGAAAAGTTCTATTGGGACGGTATCCACAAATTACCTGAAAGATGGGGGAAATGTGTAGCTAGCGATGGACATTACTTTGAATAAAGCACTTTAGATGTTTCTCTTGAAATTATCGTGTTTTCTTTGATTACAAAATCCGCATTGTTAACCTATACACCTAGTAAGCACAAAGCAGGGAGCCCCAATAAGTCAAGAATGGTCAGGAACGATCTCAGGAGCAAAGAAGATTAATCTTCCTAAGTTATTACCAGGACCTCTCCTCTGTTCAAACCTTCAATGGCCTCCCATGGGCCTGAAGAAAAAAAAATCTGAGATTGTTAGACTGATGCTTGAGGTCTAAAACCTAGCCTCCATGGACACGGACAATAGGGTGGTAAAAGGCCTGGGTCTGGGGGGCAGGGGAAGACTGGAGGGGGGTCAATGAGGGGGAAAAAGGGAACATATGTAATACTTTCAATAATAAAGATTAAAAAAATAAAACCTAGCTTCAATTTACTTTGCAACTTGATTTCCCACAAAATCCCCATCCCAATCTATAGTTCAAATATGATAAATTTATCTGGATTAAAAAAAATTTGCTGCCCTAACTGGTTTGGCTCAGTGGATAGAGCGTCGGCCTGCGGACTGAAAGGTCCCAGGTTCGATTCCGGTCAAGGGCATGTACCTTGGTTGCGGTCACATCCCCAGTAGGGGGTGTGCAGGAGGCAGCTGGTCGATGTTTCTCTCTCATCGATGTTTCTAACTCTCTATCCCTCTCCCTTCCTCTCTGTAAAAAAATCAATAAAATATATTTTTTAAAAAAATTTGCTATAGGTGCTGGCTTTCTCAAAAAGAAAAAGGTTAACCCAGTTATTCCAGTCTGAGAAATAAAGAATCAAATAAGCACAAAAATTTAAATGTAAGGGTTTAATTACAGAAATAAACACTGTAAACAATGTCTCCTGAAACAATATTATAGCTAGTGGCCTGGTGCATGAATTCGTGCACATCGAAAGGAAATTAATTTGAAGAAATATGTTAATATTGCTATTCGCCCTTTCTCTATAATAGAAGTGTCAACCAAATTCATGATTAACAATGACAGATGGAAACACACGCGTGTGATTGGTGCCAGTGAGAGCTTTACATGTATTGCGTAGATATAGAATATAGTTACTTAATTAGGCCTGCTTTCTGATTTAGCTAAACTTTGTCCAGCCCAGTGAAGCACCCCAATTTCTCTTTCAGGTAATTGTCAGCAACACAGCAGTAAATATCAACACAAAGCAGGTAATTATTGTAGATCATGCAGGGAGAACAAAGGGTAAAATATTTAACTGCAGCAATGTTTGACTATATTCTGCGCAGTGAGAAACCTGAAGTCATTTTCAAGGTCCACCATTTCTTACTTCTTTTCAGTCGGGTCAAGTTTCTAAACTTTCTAAATCTCCGTTTTCCGCTAATGAAAAGAAAATACGATTCCACCGAGTCTCCTACCTACCTACTCCAGGACTTCTGTGAAGATCAAATGAGATGAGGCACAGGAAAACACTTCACAGACATTTGGTTACAGTGTGAAATGTTTCCACCTGGCTATAAAGCAAGTTGTGTTCCTGGAATGAAGAAACTGCAAGGAGGCTAGTTGTCGCTAAGGAGAGGAAGCCAGGCATTGCTACATGATGTCATTACCCAGACAGACACTTAGCATATTAGCCTTTTACACTGAGTGGCCAGATTATTATGATCACCTGATGTTTGTAGGCAAATTAGCTATAATTTTGCGCTGAAGTTGCTAGAGGGCCAGATCATTATAAACGTCTGACTAGCACAACATACCTAAGTATCGTTGCTGATCAAGTTCATCCTATCATGTTGATGGCGTATCCCAATGGAGATGGCTTCTTCCAACAAGACAATGCGTCATGCCACGGGGCTCATATTGTGCAGAAGTGGTTTCAAGAACATGAGGGAGACTCTACCTTGCTTAGGTGGCCCCCACAGTCACCAGATCTCAATCCAATTGAGCATTTGTGGGACGAAGTTAAAAGAGCCATCAGGCAGCTGGTTCCACAACCATCAAATCTCACAGAACTGGACAGTGCTATTCATCAGGCATGGTGTCAGATTCCTCACATCACCTTTCAACATCTTGTGGAGTCAATGCCAAGAAGAATCGCCACAGTATTGAAGGCAAAAGGTGGCCCAACGAAGTACTGATGGGGTGGTCATAATAATCTGGCCACTCAGTGTATATATAGAGATTATAGTAGCTACCATCCATTAGGTGCCTTCAATATGACTGTGTTGAGTGTTTTACATGCATTACCTATTATTTCACTTAATCCTCATCCCAATTTTACAAAGTAGTAAAGCATTATCTTCATTTTTGTATAACTGAAAACCAGTTCAGAAAAGTAACATCTTTCTCAGCATTTCACACATAGTAAGTGACAAAGTATGGCTTCAAATTAAAAACTGACTCAGGAGTACAGCCCTTAACCACATATTACATGTGACATTTTAATCACTGAATATGCAGCCATTAAAAATTATAGTTTAAAGATATATTAATCACATAGAAGGATGCTTATAATACAGGATAAGGTATAAAAATTTTTATAGAACTTCCTTAACCGGATAAAGGTCACCTATGACAAACCCAGTTCGTATCATAATTAATGTTGAAAGTCTGAATATTTTCCCTCTAAAATCAGGAATAAGACAAAGATGTTTCTCTTACCACTTCCATTCAACATTATACTGAAGGTTCTAAAATTATGCAAGAAAAGGAAATAAAAAGCATACAGATTGGAAAGGAAAAGTAAAACTATCTCTATTTGCAGGTGACATAGTTTTGTATAAAGAAAATCCTAAGGAGCTCATAATACAAAAAACAAAAACCCACACCTATCAGAACAACAAAATAAATGCAGCAAGGTTGTAGGATAAAAGATCAATATAAAAATATCTATTATATTTCTATATACTTACAATGAATAATCTGAAAATGAAATTAAGAAAACAGTTCCATTTACAATAGCATTAAGAGTAAAATACTTAGGATGAAGATAAGAGTCCTACCTCACAAGATACAAAAACTAACTCAAAATAGATCAAAGACCTAAATTTAACAGATACAACTATTAGCTCTTAAAAAAACACACACACACAAAAAAAACAGATATAAATCTTCCTGACCTTG